ACACCCTGTACTAATTGGGCTCCTGCAATTCTCCAAATCCCTGTTTTTCATTCTATACACCAGCGTAAAGATATTTTTAGAAAATAACAAATTCTAAATGTCACTCTTATCACAGCCTTGGCCTAGACCTCCCTCTCTCTTCGTTCCGCCCTCTGCCCCCATCGTTTTCTGTCTTAATGGTACATAGACTGAGGTTTCTAGAACATTCCCTCCTTCTCTGAGGCTGAGAGAGTGATGAAAATGGACCAACATCTATCCCTCTTCCTGAAATGCTGTGGGAATCATCTTCCTGCTGTTTAGAAATAAAACAGAAAACGTATTTGAGGTAATTAAAAACAAAACTTAGTGAATAACATATTTTGAGAGACTTGCCATTTAGTTGCTGAATGGATGCCATTTGGTCAAATGCTTTCATTTTCTATTATAAACTTAATTAAGCTAACAGAGATAAAATAACGGCATCTATATTAAATAAATTTATCTCCTATCCTAACAGAAATGTGAATGATTTTAGCTTTTACTTCAATTGCTCTGAATTTTTGAGTCTGTTCACTTAGAAACAAGATGGGCTTAATTAACTTAGGCTTGAAGTATTTACCAATTCTTTTCAATTCAATGTATACATGTAAGACAATTCCAACTAGAATGCCAGTAGGGTTCCCTTTTGCAAATTAGACAAGTGATTTTAACTTTCATAGAGATGAATAAATGCCTGAGAATAACAAAGAAAATATAAAACCGTAGATGGGGAGGAAATTGGCTCACCTTATTATAATCAAAGCCACTGTAATCGATCAATATTTTATTCACATAGAAGTAGAAAAGTAAAAGACATCAACAGAAATGAAAATTCTGACACAAATCTTAGTGAGTATGAGAATTCAGTAAGTCATCGGTGCTGCATTCTCAGTTCGGTGGGAAATGGATCACTTATTTAAAAAATGGTTCTGGCACAAAGGCTATCTTAAGCATACACCAAAGTAAGTGTCTGTTCTGCTTTGAGATACTTTTCTGAATCCTGGAGCAAAAGAAATGCTTAAGCTTTCTTAAGAGGCTGCTGTGTGTTTGGAAGATGGGGGACACGAGCTTCAGAGAGGGAGACTGCAGGTCCGGGGGGATCTGATTGTAGAGGATCTCTGACCAGCACATGAGCAACCAGCCAGAACTGAGCTGCGTTTTCTGATCGTCCCCCAGCGTGGTCACCACCACTGCCACTTCCCAACCCTCCCAGGAGAAGGCAACTACAGACCCTCTGCTACATAGCTTGAAGAAGGGAAAAGAGGAATATACTGGGAGGCATTTTCCCTGTTTCCTCCTATTATTTTCCCATCAGTTGGTCCAACTTCCCAGGAGCATCTTGAACCCCAAAGAAGATGAGGTGTGTCCAAGCATGTCAGTCTCCTCATGCAGGCAGACAGCTTCCTATTTGAGGCCAGAGCCAGGCCAACATTCTGCTGCCTTCTTGTCCTACCCAGTGTCGCTCCTCATAAACCCAGTCTGTAGGAACAACCTTCCAGGAAGACACCCACGTGAAGCACAGTTCTCCCATACGCCAGGCAGGCTGCCCCACAAGATGTTTAAGTCACTCAATTCCATCCTTTGCAGGTCCCCTCTTGCCCCGTCTCCCTCCTTTCAACCCCCCACAAATGCCTTGCTGGGGAAACCCATTTATACACTCAGACGCTCACCCCCTCCACACTCTTCCACCCTAAAGAGAAGGGAGGGGTTGCAGGTAAAGTGAGGCAGGCTGAAAACAGCCTCTGCTTTCTAACGCCAGAAGGCAGCTATGATGAGAAGATTGTGGAACCCAAGGAAAAAGGGGAAGGCAGAGGTGTATGTATGCCCTCCCTAATCTAAGCCTGCCTCGGGGTGGGGGGTGGGGGTGCTGGCCTCCTCTGCCCACCTGGCACCTCCAGGGTCTCCATGTCCTGTAGCCAGGGCTAGGTCCACCCTCTTGACCACAGCCTGGTTTCTAGGATACCCCACCCCTGACTACACTCAACACTGCCACTAGGAAGTTCCGGAGTGAATAAAAGGGCGGCTCCTTCTACCTCCTTCTCTACTCCTGCTTGCTCTCCTTCCCTCCCCACGTGTCTCAGAGCCACTGCCGTGTTCTGCCCACCACACACAGCAGGCACTTTAACAGTCATCATCCTCCCCTGTCACAGGCAAGGACAGAGATGTGAAGTCATCTGGGCAACCGCTCATGCAGGGTTGCTGCATCAGCATTGACTGAGTGACTACAATGGCCAGGAAGCTGTAGGAGTTACATGGAAGAACGAGACACAGCACTGCCCTCAAGAAGCTTTGGTTCTATCAGGGTACAGGGAAGTACCCCAGAAATGCAATGCCACCAAGACGGAAGTTTCTGTACTGGTGGCATCCAGAGGAAGGGAAGAAGGCATGGAGCACCTGGGACATGAGCTGTGAACTCTGGACTCCTCCAAACACACACCCCTCTCCCCACACCAGACGCTGCCACCTGAGGATGGGGCCAGCGCGGGCTCAAAGAGTCACCCTCCCCAGGAGGTGTCTGTGAGTCCTCTCCGATTTCTTCAGGACTTGAGACAGTCCTTCCAGCCAGGATTCCTCAGTGAGCTCTTCAGACCCTTGCCCCTGAGCGTTTTGTCTTTCCTGCACTACTTTGAGCAGGACGTTTTGCTGGGAGGACTGGTAAGCCTTGTTGCTGTAGCAATCCCCTTCATTTTCCCACAGGATTCCCTCGATTTTCTCCATAAGCTCCTGCAGCTGGGCCTCCTGCTCTGCCCGCTCCGCCCTGTTGTTGAAGCCGCAGTGGCGCCGCTCACATAGCACGTCCAGCCAGGCAAGGTCCTGGTTGTGGGTCTCTCGCACATACTCTTCCAAGGAGCCACCATCCAGGTCTTCCTTGTGGGTGAACACCAGGACTGTGTAAGCCAGAACCCCCACTCCGAAGACCTCCTGGAGGCGCCTGACCACCTGCTGGTCCTCTTCTGTGAACCGGCCCAGCTGTGTCACCAGGAGCACCGCGTGAGGCCCTGGGGACGAGAA